TTTTCAAAAATTTCTCCTTATCCAAAATTCTGACATTCTCCCAATCAAAATCATGCAAAAATTCAATACGATGGTCTAAGAACATCCTTATGTACTTTAATAAATTTATTCAACTTATTATCACTAACAAACGCTAATTTCATGTCTGAATCCTTACAAATTGACGAAAATTTTTCGGATATGGAATCAATATATGGTAAAACAAACCAAGATACACGATCAGTATCCGTGTCATTATTTAAAGCCTTATTATTAGGTACTTTTTTGTTGAACCAAAATCTTTTTAGGCGCTCATTGATCGTGTTGAAAACAAATTCTGCAGGATAGTCGTTATTGAGTAGTGTATTTATTGTAAATTTTATATTTTTATAATGAAATTTAGGGTCTGAGAGTGACATTGCTCTATCTAACATACCCATGATAACACCCTTCTTTTGAGACGTTGGATGTGCAGAAAAATAGTTCAAGTAACGTCCCGAGAAAGTTGGCTTATGGTACCAATCTAGTTCTATCATGCCGTTATTGTTAATGATGGTCAAATCTAAAAAATTAATACTATTGCCTCCTATTTCCAAGGTAAATTGTAATCTAGGATGTAAAGAATTAAACGTTGTCAACGTATATTCAATCATATTGATAACTCCAAAGAGAGTCGAAACGTCCAAATACAGAAGACTTTAAGCTAACATCTGAGTATTGTTTTCACCTATCTTTGCGCCGTTCATCTTTGCTGCTTTACTCTCATTAGCCTAATTTAGTCATACTTTTAATTTGTTGAATTTGAGAGTCCGAATACAATTATTAATTATTGTTTGTTTACGCTGGCTGTAACATGCGTCAATCTACTTTATCTTTTTCGTTTTTCAAGTTTATATATCTATATTTTGGGATTGTTCCATTAAAGGCGATGAAGCTTTGGATTAGGCACCACAAGAGTATTATTAAGAACAAAATTCGGATAAGGTTGATAAGAACATGTATTAGGAACAAAATTGTTCCTCACCATCTAAAATTTTTAATGAAGAATGAATTGAAATTTTCGCATTTCCGTTCGGTACACAGAATGAACTATTTTAGGAATCAATATATGTTAAGAATTTTGAAGATCACTACTCAATACACTACTCAATAACGACTATCCTGCAGAATTTGTTTTCAACACGATCAATGAGCGCCTAAAAAGATTTTGGTTCAACAAAAAAGTACCTAATAATAAGGCTTTAAATAATGACACGGATACTGATCGTGTATCTTGGTTTGTTTTACCATATATTGATTCCATATCCGAAAAATTTTCGTCAATTTGTAAGGATTCAGACATGAAATTAGCGTTTGTTAGTGATAATAAGTTGAATAAATTTATTAAAGTACATAAGGATGTTCTTCCTAAATTTGACAATAAGAATGTGGTCTATAAA